GTATATGGTCATTGGTTAAGAGAAGTTATGCCTTACATTCATTTAGAGAAGATTAGATATACTGTTAGGGGATCTGTGAACAAATTCTTTGACATCTGGCAGCCATTTATATCTTATGTAGAAAAAATTTTGGCAGATAACTTTGTGTAAAGGTCAAATATTGTTTCATTGTACACAAACCTGTGCATTGTATCACTGTTGTATGAAGATAAGATTGATTTATGTTGTTTCAGAAGATCCGGTATAGGAAGGGGTAGGATGGGAGGGATTTCGGGTGTTTGTGTTTTTGTTAGTTTTGTTTTTTTTTTTTTTTGGTTTATGTTAAAAAATAATAAAAAAGACTTTCAACAAAAAAAACACTCTCTGGTTTCATTTAAAAGAGCCAATTGTCAGATATTGTCCAAGATTGGATATAGCTCGCTTAGCAGCCTCGCACCGAGGACCTATCCACGTCATCATTTACCCAGAATGCTTTGCGTTTAAATAAAAATGGCCCCGTCCGTGTAATATATTTTTAAACTTTTAGTTTAAAAATTATAAAAACTGAACAGCCTACAGTATTTTTACAGTCTTTATTTTACAGTTAAAATATATGTTTATTGAATAAACTCTAATGTTACAACTAATCAGGATCCCTTTAACCAGTATGTTATGATCTTTCAAAACGTTTTTTAAGTTTAAAAAGTCACAGCTCAAATTAAYAAATTTGTACTCAGCATGTCTACATGCCTTCCTAATGGGTGGAACACGATCATTAACCCAAGGTGCTGGTTTAGACACAGCAGAGTGAGGTTTGGATATCTTAAAAGGGGCCACAGTGTCCAGCATTACTGCACATCTGCTGAAGAATTCTGTTGCTAGCTCATCTGTAGAGAGAGATAAATTTCCCAGTTGAAGCTGAGGATAACTTTGATAGATTTCATAAAATTGTTCCATGGTCTGAGATGTGATTTGTCTAAAACAATATGAAACTTCGTCATTGGGGGTCTCAACTACTAAAGCTAAATAAAATGGCATCATGTTCGGAGACAAGCATATTGATAATAGAGATTTAATATGCTGAGACCTAATGTAATAATTAAATCCATGTTCGTGTAGTACAACAGACATGCTGACTACAGTCAAAAGTGTGAATAAGATCAAAGAACTCAGATGCAAATCTATCATTCTGATCATCAGTACGAATATTGAAATCACCCAGAAGAATAACTTTCTCATCTGTATGATAACTAATACACTTGTATATTAACATGCTAGTAAGTCATTTTTATAATTATACCATTTCCATCAATGTGGTTTTTTTCATAAGTAGACACAGTGCTTCTCTACCGCCATCGCATTTTCCTCCAATATGCTGCGCAGAAGTTCTGCAGAAGTTCCACTAATGTCGCACATAAGTGCTGCAAAAGTCAAAACACGCTGCAGTAAGCTTGTACGTTATGTTTAAGATAGGAACAATTTATTCATAGTTTTCATATTTGTTCAAGTTGTTAGCAACACAGTATGATCACATTCAAAAGAGGCTGCTAATTGATGTTTTTTTCCTATTCTTTGGTGTATGCCCACCCGCGTAATTTACACGGGGGATGGGGGTGTTATAACCCCCCCAATAATTTGATCCAGTCAATATAACCCCCCCAATAAAATTGCATCATTTGCTCAAACACAATAGAAATTAACTGGTTAAGTAGACAGATGCAACTCTCTTGTTGTCTTCATGTAACTTTGACCTGATTAAAAAAAATTAGAATGTCATATATCAACGTTTTAAGC